TAATTCTTAATAGTTAACTGATAGCATTGGATTAACGATTCTTCAAATGGTTCATAATTTTTTTTGAAGAACTGAACCAATCTCACTCCTACACATTTCTTCATGAAAAGATACTTTGTATATAAATAGTCACTTTTTGGTTTTAAAATTTATCTTATGCATCATTATTGATCGATGTATAATATCTTTGTTCAATTTTATTTATCATAAACAATTAAAAATCACTTTTTAATTCTCCAATCTTGCATATCGATCCAAGACCATCCTAGTCTCACCCCCCAACCCGGTACTATCCAGTTCAAGATTGGTTGGTCGGTTTGTGATCCCGTTTAAATAATTAGTCAATTCTGGTATGATTCTGGAACCGTATCTATTCGTACTTGTGATGAGTAAAAGTAAACACAAAAGGTCGAAGAAAATCTTTAGTGAGAAGAAGAGACAGCTGCAGAGAGCTAATGTATAGTACTAAGAATGAGTTAAAAGTACGTGTAGGAGAATCCATGATTTTATAAGTCTATAAGAATGAATAAAAGTTTCAATATGCATAGACTACTTTAGACTTTTAAAAATCTATATTGAATATTGTTAAACTTTTACAATCAATAAACTTTTAAAAATTCACCACTAATTCCTTACTCCTTTCATCCCTGATGAAACGATAAACATAATTATAGGGGATGGAGGGAGTATAAATTTTTTACTTAAAATGAAAAGTGATAAAATAAAAAGGATAAGCAGAAAAGAAAAATTGACAAAATTTTAAGTGATGAAGGAAGTAAATAATACACCCTCGGACCTCGGTCCCTATCCATTCATCTATGAAACTTTTGATGTGATCTGTAAATATATAAATTTCAAATTCCTATATTTAAATTAAATAATACAAAATCATGGATTTGAAATGGTGGAGTATATGATCTTTACCTCCCAAATTGCGCCCCCATACTACACAAAAACGATCCAATAGGTCATTAAAAGTCCAATAAGCAATCAATCACCCCTCATGTGGACCACGACAGCCGGGGGCCACAACAACATACTCCTTCAGTTCTTATTAAAACTTCCACATAGATTTGACACACAGTTTAAGATAGTGGGTATTGTATGGTGGAGAGTTGTGCAGGGGAGAGTGAAATGTGTAAGAAATGTTGTGAATCACAAATTCTTGAAAGAATTCCCTAAATAAGAGTAAAAAAGTTGAAATTCCAAAATAGAAGTATCATGTTTTTTTATTCCTTGAATATGAGTAAATTTTTGCCAAATTTGTCATTAATAGGCTTTAAAACATGGTATTTTTTCCCAAACTTGGCAGATTACTCATATTCAGGAAATATAAAATATGATATTCCTATTTTGGAATTTCAAAATGTTTTTGCTCCTATTTAGAGCAATTTCTACAAATTCTTTACTGAAAAAGGAAATTAGAAGTTTTAATTGAACGAACGAAAAAGGAAAGTTGGAAGATATAATATGAAGGGAGGGAGTACAAGATTGACTAATAATCATTGATTAACATTAGGGAAAAGGGGCAAAAACACCCATGAAGTTATCAACAAGGAGGGTCTATGCCCACAAACTTAAATTTTGAACAAAAAACTTTAACAAACCTGAAAATAGGGCAAAAAGCCCCTTTGACTTACGGAAACAACTTATTATAACGATCCATCCTTTAACTTGCTCACTTGGCTATTCATTATACCGGCCATATAAAGGACAATGGGAAAAAGGGAACATACTAAATTAATTTATCTTTATTTGAACAAATAAACACTAGAATAATTCATTGGTTTGAGATTTATAATACTTATTCCATATAAAATCTTAATTTTATAATGTTTAATTTATATTTAGGATGTTTTTACTAGGACTGTTTTACTCTCAGACCAGACCAGACCAGACCAGACTTAAACAAACCAGACCAGATCAAACCAGACCAAACTTGACTTCCTTAGTTATAAAATACACAGAGACCAAATGTTATCCAGATAAGACAAGTTCAGACCAAACTTAAACAATTCTCAGACAATGTAAAGTGAATTCAAACGAGTGAATTTCTCAAATATGAGTAAAATAATGTCTTTCCACAAAACTCTTCCTGGTGCGGAGGAGATTATTTAAAAAGTAATGATAAATGTGTATCTCTTAAACTCTTTATCTTCAAATAATTTGATAAAATGTTATATATCCTCTTTTATTTTCAAATAATTTTTATTTGATTTGCCATTTCTTACGCTTTAATGTATCAATACTTTTTTCTAGAGGACTCAATTATAAAATAAAAGATATTTTTCTATAGTCTAAATTTAGAATCTAATAGATTTAAATATCGCCGTGTACGTATTGATGGAATTTGTTTTTGAAATTAAAGAATAGCCGCAGTGCCCTATAGTAGCGAAAAAGTTTCACCCTCTTGACTTAAAATTCTGCATCCGTTCCTGCCTATTTGTGCAATTATGTTTAGGTTTAGTCCTGTTTTGGACAATTTCTGAATTCAAAGTACAAATACTGGTGTGATATTAATATTACACATTCATTTAGTTCCGATTTTTTAAAACAGATTATTAAACAAGTAAAAAATTAAATTATTCTAGCATTAGAACTAATATAAATTGTACCATCTATAAAAACTCGAAACATAATCTAAATCTAAAATAAATATTTTTTGGACGAGCACATATGATGATTTGGGGATCAAAATCTTCCTTGGTTTTTTTCTTCAATGCATCACAAGCTACACTTTTAAAGAAATAATATCAAACATAGCACACTAACATACAGAGTATTTGTTTTATATACTGCCTGTATAAAGCCAACCGAACAAATTTAAGGGAGGCATGTTTTGTTAACTTACTTCCGTTAGTTCAAGGGGGTTTTTGCCCTCTTTTCAGGGTTTTTAAAGACATTTGCTCAAAAATTAAGTTTGTAGGCATAGATCTCCCTTGATGGCAAGTTTAGGGGTGTTTTTGCCCCTTTTCCCATTAACATTAATGTCTAGTATAAATTAGTCCCCCTTTAGACATATGTGACTGTTCAATCACTGATTAACTTATCGAGAGAATTCTCCAAATAAGAGCAATAATAGGCAAAATGCAAAAATAGGAGTACCATGTTTTGAATAGGAGTAACTTTAGTGTTTGGACAAGTATACCCCTACCCAAGCCCCAACAACTTTTAATTAAATGTTTAATTCATAATAAATTCGAAAAAAATTCAAAAAATCGTAGAAAAATAATTAAAATAATTACAAAATACTAATAAAATAAAAAATTTTAAAAAATATATATATATTTTTTAAATTTTTATTTTTTTAAAAAAATTAATAAAAAATAGTAAAACTTCATTAGAAAAATTAAAAAAATATGGATGCCTTTCCCACCGCTTGTACTACCTCCCTGCACCACCACCTCCGGGCGGTGAAAAAAATTCCATTTTCCCTAAAAATTGTCTTTTTTTAAATGCCAAAAACATGGCATATTTCTCTTTGCGAATGCTAACATTTTCATTGTTTTCTGCCATAAATATGGCATTCGGAATGAACTTGGCATTTTTTCCCCTGGTGACTGGAGGTGGTGGTGCTGAGGCGGCAGAGGCGGCGGTGAATTTTATTTTATTTTTTTGGGTTTTTTATTTTTTTAAAAAAATATATTTTTATATTTTTTGAAAAATAAATAAATAAATAAATTATTAATATCGAATAAGTCATAAATTAACTAGGTTAGGATTAAATAAGTCATATTTTAGAATTAACTAGGTTAGGGATGTTAAGGGTACAAAATTAATGTTTACTCGAAGGAAGTTTTAAGTTTTACTCCTATTTGTGCAATTATATTTATATTTACTCCTATATTGGGCAATTTCTATAACTTATTAGATCTATTTTCTCTCTGCATAACGTTAATGGTATTCTAGCGTAGCTATCATGAAATATCATAGATTTTATAATGGGGTGAAGGAGAGGTGGACAATTCCGTTTTGAAATACTCCCTCCGGTCCTTATTTAACTTTACACTTTTCTTTTTGGATCGTCCCATATTAAACTTTACACTTCTTTATTTGCCTTATTTGGCAAACAAATCTACACCAAACAGTGTCAAACAGTGTCTAACAGTGTCAAACAGTGTATTCTACAGTAAAGTCAAATTTATTTCCTTAATATGTGTGAAGTCAAAGTGTAAATTTCATTTAGGACCGGAGGAAGTATCATAGTTTGAAGTTTGAACGGATTTTAAAAATGACTGCTACATAAAAATCACAGTTTTTCCATTAATCAAGTTCAATCCAGTTTAGTATGAATTGGTTCGATTAAGAATTATTGTTTTTAATAACATTAAAATTTTATTGAATTTTCTAGTTACGATCGATTTATTTCTACTTGATTTAATAGGATTTGACAGAAATATTACTAGTATTAAAGTCAAACCTAATTCTACAATGTGATTTCATTCAGTAAAACCAACCCCACCCTCTCAGCCTGTTTGGTTATATCCAAATCGGCTCTATTGAATAATTTTGCTGAAATTTATGATGTTTTGGTTGAAGTGACTGGATTAGCTGATTTATCTAATTTAAGAAAATCCTATATTTAAAATATATTTCTTCCATTTTTTTAATTGCAACAGTTCACTTTCACGTTTGCCAATGCACAAGTTTGACCATTAATATCTCTCATTCCTTATTAGTAAAAAAATTAAAAATTCAGATTTTGAAAATATAAAGTGAGAAGAATTTAATAATATTTTTTGAAAATTTAGTTTATAATACATTAATGAATAAAATATAGTGAAAGTAGAATATGTAAATAGTGCAAAAAGTCTAATGTTACAATGAAAAGAGAACGGATGTAGTATTTTATTAATAAGACAAAAATATTATATGAAAAAATAATCAAAATAATCTTATAGAGTAACTTCACACAGTAAATTGAAAAAATATTTGTAATATGGTATATATGACAATAATTAGGAAGGTAAAAAATTGAGAGCCCTGCTGGTTGTAGAGAGCAGAGACCTTTTTCTACACATTTCATACACGCCCGGCTTTTTTTCTTTGAATAGGCTTCCCAAACAAAAAAGTTTTTTTGAAAATTGAGATAGTTTACAGGGGAGTAGGAGTATGTTATAGCCTAATTAGGAGTATCATTTGGTCGCGAAATGCACTTTCAATTAACGACTTCATCGTGACAGCAACCTTCTTCTTGGCACCAAGATTCTAACTTTCGGCTCAATTGGCCGGCGATGATTCAATCTAGAAAACAGCTCCGAGTCATGATCGCCGGAAAATTAAAGGATAAAGCGTCGCTGATGAAGGCATCCCTCACGGCGAAACGCACAGTTTCATCAATCCGGGTCGCCATCATTAGAGCCACCACCCACACCTCCACATCCCCACCACCGGAGCACCGCGTTGCGGCTCTCCTTGACTTCGGTGACCGGCCTCCGGCGGTGATATGCGCCTGCGTCGGTGGCATCATGGACCGCCTCCACGGGACCCACAACCCTTTCGTGGCCCTCAAGTGTCTCTACGTCATCCACACCCTCATAGTCAAGGGCTCCCTCTCGTTCAAGAACCAACTCTGTTTCTATCCCGCCGGCGGCGGCGGCCTTAGTTCTCTCAATCTTTCCAACTTTAGAGCAAATGCCGGCGCCGGAGTGGGAGCGCTAGAGTTAGCCGCGTGGGTGAGATGGTACGCCGACGTAGTAGAACAGAATATAACGACGTTCAGAGTTCTTGGTGACAATTCATACGTTTCTTGCTCCTCGAGAAGATCGATAAACTTCGAGAATATATACCCCAAGAATCGCGAATACTCCGGCGATGATAAGGAGATGGAATGTTTGGTCGGCGCGGTGGAGGGAATCTGCGGGGCGCCGGAATCTTTGGACTGGCGGAAGAACGACGTCGTGCATGAGGTGATGAGCATGGTGGCGGAGGACTACCGGTCGGCTCAGTACCGAGTCGTGTTGCGGCTCAGTGAGTTGCATGAGCGAGTTGGGAAGCTGAGTTACGTGGAGTTGACCGAGTTGAGGTCCTGGTTGGAGCGACTGGAAAAGTGCAAGGAGAGGATGGTGGAGCTGTTCATAAGGCGGCGGAACGGCACGTTCTGGGAAGTGGTCCGGCGGACGAAGGCGGAGGTTGAGCGGGTGAAGGAGGAGTGGGAAATGCAGAGCATGGTGTTGTGGAATGGCGATGGGGGAAAGTGAAGTCAACGTAGCGGGTGGACGTGTTGAATGGGTCATAAAGGAGATGGACATTTTTGCCATGCATATATGTTGATAGTCAACGGCAAGATTTTGCACAAAAGTTTACACATTTATACCTCAATTGTTAAGATTTTAGATATACGTAGTACGTAACATTTTGATTTTGAACAGATTCATAATTTCATATGTAGAAAAAAATGTAGAAAAAAATTGCTTCCATGTGAAATATTGTACGGTTTCTCTCCATGTACGTTTACTAATAAGAAATTGTTTGAATTCCAAAGTAAGCACAAAAATGCTATAAGTATTCCAATCCTATCCCAATTTGTACCTCATATAAAAACCTTCCTATTTTTACCATTTTTTTACTCCTTCAAACATCTCTCATCTCACACCCTCTCTTTCTTTCTCCCATCCGTCTCTTGCTATTCTCTCACCCCATTCTCATTTTTTCTCCTCTTTTCATTTCAAGAGTTCTCATCTCCATTTTTGAAGGTTTCAAGATCTCCCCATCTAGTTGTCTCTAAGGTAACCATCTCTTCTCAAATAATGAAGTACGTACTCTATTTTCCGTTTTTTCCTCATGTGCGTTTTTTATTTTATTTTTTTTCCTTTTATCGATTTTATGTATATTAAGTATGAATGTATGATATCAAAGTGAATAATTGATTAGTTTGTTTCATTGTAATCATTTAGAGATGTTAATTAATTAAAATTTTAGTGTAATTTCTCTAGTTCATTTTATGCCCATAACATGTTTGTAGAAATTACTCAATGAATTTTTTGTTGGAATTCAAGACTTTTTTCCATTTTTTTGTACCTCAAGGGAAGAAGATGATGAAGGTGTGGACGTTGAAGACTTGGAGTAGAGTATTTTTTTTTTTTGTCATTTGTTTGTATTTTGTTTGGCGGACAGACAATTTAGAATTGCAGTGTCTGTCTAGCCTAAAGTGAACACGATTTTGTCTTAAAATCTGAGCCAATTAACTACTCTCTGTCTTACAGCCAGACAAATTTTGTCTGGGCCAGACATTAGTAGTCTGGGCCAATTAACTACTCTTTATCTTACAGTCAGACAAATTTTGTTTGGGTCAGACATTAGTAGTCTGGGCCAATTAACTACTCTTTGTATTACATCCAGACAAATTTTGTCTGAGCCAGACATTAGTAGTCTGGGCCATTTAACTACTCTCTGTCTTACAGCCAGACAAATTTTGTCTGGGTCAGACATTAGTAGTCTGGGCCAATTAACTACTCGTTGTCTCATAGCCAAGCAAAAGTTGGCTGTGCCAGACAATAGTTGTCTCTTCCAGACAAATGGACTATGCCTCACATATGCTATTTATATCAAATGTGTTCTGACTACGTGTTGTGTATTAATTGTAGGTATTCACTTCAAGATGACGAATGACTTAAAATGTAAGGTTGAAAAAGTGTTCTAAGCGGATGCTAATTCATTTACAAATATGATACCGTGTGTGACTTCTTTTGCAATGGAGAAACAAATGCAAGGATGCTAAAGTATATAGTGTTGGGGAAATGTGCCCGTTTTGAACTTGTGATTTTTTGAACATGTATTTTTTTCATATTATAGTTGGAAAAATGTGTTGAATATTGTATAATGTTACATGTTCAATGTTGAACAATTGGATTCATTTTTTTTTGAACATGTGTAAGTTTTTACAAATATTACATTTACAATTATCCACATCTTTTGTTTGTCTGGGAATCTACGGTATTGTCTGTATGTGTAAAGTTATTGTCTTTCTGCGTGAAAGTAATGTCTGTCTGGTTATCTGTGTTGTTTGTCTATTCAACGGTTGTATTTCACCTATAATAGTCTATTTAGACTTATTTAAATTGCTTCTTTACTGGCGAACTCCATACCAACACAGACAATTTATACATGTTTGGTTTTTCACCAAATTCATTTGTACATTAACAAATACAATCATATCTCCGAACACTTTTATATAACCACATTAACAATTACTAAACTCATCAAAATGTACTATAAAATACAGTTTTACTAAACTCAATCAAAACAACCCACAAAAATACATTCCCACATTAATAACAATTCCTATGTTTCCTCCACCTTGTTCCACATGTTTGCATACTCGCAACCTGGAATCAATGACTTTCCCATTAACAGCTGCTCTGCAAAGGAAGCCACCATCACTCCACATTCTCCCGACCTGTAGACAGACAATTCAGAATAAATGCTAGACATTTTATATCACATTGCAGATAATTTGTTGCAATACATATGTAGACAGACATACTATTTTCACATTACATACAACTCAAATGGAATGTCAGACAACGCTTTTCACATACAGACAACTACAAATTAATTTTAAAGAATTCATTTCACATTACAGACAAATCAAATGGAATGCCAGACAACTCTTTTCACTTCACAGACAACTACAAACCAATTTTCAACATCCAAAGAGAGACATCACAAAAGTCATCACACGTAATATAAAATACATTTGTAAAATAAGAAGATGTGCTTACATAAAGTTGTTCTATGTACTCAAACAAATAAATTTGTCTGTCCAGACAGACATCTTATGTAAGACTCTACCAATTATGAAACCGTGCTCAGCTAGACAGACACTGCACTTCAAATTTATCTGTCAGACAAACAACCCTTTTTCATGTGGAGTTTGACGAAAAAATACCAAAAAATGAGGAAAAAATAGCAAAATGACGAAACAGTGCCTCACATGACGGATGGGGCTTCCCCCGGTCTCTACCGCCAGAGATCTGAGGCGTCAGGTTGTGCTTTGATTTATGGAGGATTTCGGATCAACGAGCGTTGAGGAGAGGGGAATGATTGAGGCGTTGGAAAAACGAAAAAAAAAAACGAAAAATAGAGTACGTACCTCATTATTTGAGAAGGGATGGTTACCTTAGAGACAACTAGATGGGGAGATCTTGAAACCTTCAAAAATGAAGATGAGAGCTCTTGAAATGAAAAGAGAAGAAAAAATGGGAATGGAGGTGAGAGAATAGCAAGGGACGGATGGGAGAAAGAAAGAGAGGGTGTAGATGAGAGATGTTTGAAGGGGTAAAAAAATGGTAAAAATAGGAAGGCTTTTATATGGAGTACAAATTGGGGTAGGATTGAGGTACCTATAGCATTTTTGAAGTAAGCAAGCATGAATGGTCCAAACTCAGTAGAATATATATCATGTACGTTTCTTTGAAATTTTAGCATTTTAATGAAACTGATATGTCACTTGAATCTCTAATGAGGGAGGGCCGGCAATAAAAAACAGGTCACAATCTAATGAGTAATGATAGGGATGGACCCAGGCCGGTCCGGTTCCGGGCCAGTTCCGGGTCGGTCTTGGGCAGGCTTTTTTTTCAAATTGTTGGGCCCCGAACCAGCTCGGGATTGATACCGGGTCCGGGCCTAACCGGGATGGGCCCGGGTCAAGGTAATTTTTTTGGCTTTCTAATTAACCCCAACCCCCCCCCCCCCCTCACCCCACCCCCCAAAACACCTAGCCCTAACCAAGAAAAACAAAAAAATTGAAAAAATAAAAAAAAATAAAATAAAAAAAACCCAAGCCCAGCCCGGCCCGAACCGCCCGGGCCGGTTCAACAAGTACAGGGTCCGAGCCCGGCCCGGCCAACCCTCCCCAATCGTTAGCACCAACCGGGCCGGTCCAGGCCTGCACAGTGGCGGGCCGGGCCGGTTCCGGGCCGAACCGGTTGGGTCCACCCCTAAGTAATGAGGGAGGGCCGGCAAATTAGAGGTAAGTTTGATAGAAAATGAGGAAATGGAAAGATCAAATCAAGTCTAACGATAACAAAATTAAATCCTTTTAGAAAGGTAAACATGATAATTAGCATTATTCCATTACAAGGATTATGTTGCTTATTTCGAGCCTGATATGGGCAATTAGGAAACCATACACTTTAAATTATTTCAGTTTTGACTTATTAGAGTGACACACAAGATCAGACTTGCCTAAACCGACCAAAGAAAAACATATCTAACAAACGAACCAGATTTTGGTGATGATGAAATCCATATAATATGATTAATATCTAAAATCATATCAATTCAGATCAGACCAAAGAAGACTTAAATCAAATCAGACAATATCTAGATTAGTAAACTAGTAAATTGCAAGCATATCTCACCTCCTTGGAGAAGAAAAATTGAAAACTAAGACATGAACATTTTCATTGCAAGCAGCCAAGAGAACCCATGACCACAATGAAACAATGCAATTTCTCTTCCACATCAGTTCATTTTTAAAAGCTCCAAGTGATTAAACAATGCAAAGAATATGAGACAAGCTCCTACCTACACACTACCGTCGTGAAAACTTGGCTAACAAGTAGATCACAAAGAAACAGAGCAATGCAAAAAGAACGACATGCATCACATGGTTGGATCCTTCCTGGATGATGCTCCGGTTCAGCCTCCTCATATTGTTCTTCACCCCAGCTTGAGCTTTCATAAATGTCATTTGCTGTGGCCAGGGCAAGATGAATATAATATTTACAAATCACCAAAAGACCCTCCCAGCTCCCCAATGGAAAAAAGGTATATACATGTAAGTTGTAACAATCGCATTCGAATCCATGACAGGTCGAATCCATGACAGGCACGTATCCGAATAAATTTAAAGGATCGAGTTGGTTTGCATTCCTAAATAACTACACAAGTAAAACCCCGTGAACTTTAAAGTTCTAAGCAAATATAAGTGATATTATGGCAGGTAACTAATATCTGGTATGCAAATGCAATACTTTGCGTAGTATAGGTTTTTATAACCTAAAAGTTTTAAAGTTTCTGAAGTTTTCATTAAATCATGGTTCTACTTTCTCCTACTGTAAGTGGTGGTAAATTGGTAATATTTAATAATGCACAAAACATATTTCAAAATGCAGATTAGTATGAATCAAATTGTTACACTGATTGATACGTACAAAGTATAATGTAAAGGCATAATTCCAACAATCGACTAAAGCATCAGAAAATGTACAGTTTTATGCAATGCATGACATACCAGCTGGTTAATAAAGTCATTCTGGAATTTAGCTTCTGATTCGATCTCCTGTGCTACCTGCAATATTACAAGTAGAGAATGTGAATAGGGAAGACAAATGAACCCTAAAGTACTTCAGAGCATGGTTTTTAAAGGCGTTTCGCATCTACGCCTCTGAGGCGCAAAGGCGCTAATGCGTTAAAAAGTCGCCTGCAAGGCTTAAGCTTGGCCTTCCACTAACAAGGCTTACGCCTTTTTTTACTGAGGCGGTGATGCGGTCCAATGCGCAAGGCGAAATTGAGGCGTACGCATTTAATTAAATGCAACTTGGGCTTTTTTTTGAATTATTGGGGGCCTCCATTTTTAAAAATAAAAAAATTACTGCATGTTTATCTCTTAGTCGACACAAGACAGCCCTAGCTCCACTACTACGAAGAGCGACATGAAGAACTGTCAGTCGAAGCCTAGAAGCTGAGTACATACTACATAGACTTCGATCTTTCAGAGTTGCTTCCATTCCAGGTGTTATCAAGTAAATAGAGTAAAATATCCCACCGCCCACTTGTATAAAATATCCCACCGCAGCTTCTGAAGTGTTTCTTATTGTATTTATTGTTTAAATGTACCGGAGTATTTATTTAAATTTTTAATTATTTAAAAGTTCAGTTTTTATTGTATCTACTACTTATTAATGCTTTTTCAGCCAGCAAACTATAAAACATCCCACCGCCCCACTTCTTAGTTGTTTTGGTATAAGATATTATGGTTGCCATTCAATATTATTACTGTATTATTATGGTTTAAACTTTAAAGTGATCATAAAACTATCATTTAGCTTATTTATTTGTTTAATATTACGTACTTTACTAGTTTACTACTTTACTTGGATCAAGATTTACAATTTAATTAGAAATATTATAAATAACTTCATTACAGTTTGGTTATATCTTCTTTTTTTAAGTTGATTATTAATTAATTGGCTATTTTGTGTATCTAGTTTATTTAAATTCATGTAAACAAATCATTTTACTTGTGATTTTGTTTAGGTGCAATATTGTTTAACATTTAAGAAATTAATTTTGAGGCTTACGCCTCGTTACGCCTCGAGGCTTACGCCTCGTGAGGCTACCACAGAACGCCTCGAGGCCCGATTTCGCCTTTCAAAACCTTGCTTCAGAGAAATACAAACGCATGATGTTGATGGTTTTGGAATTTCATTTCACCTGTATTCTTTTGTAAGAAGGTTGCAACAAGAATGGCATCTAACATAAAACTTTCCCACTTTCCTTTATTGCAATATTGTAGTGTTAACAAACTTTTGAAAATTGTATGCACTATACATTTTGAGTAATAAGTAACCCGGCCTAACTATAATTGGCATTTAGGTGGTAATGTGATGACAATGATGAAGAGAGAAAAGGACTTTGACATGAGAAATCATATTTCATAGCTGAACTGAAGTAGAATTATTCATAAAACATTCAAAAGAGTGCAGTGAAGCATATTCTAAGAAAATTAAATCAAGTAAGTAGAAATATGCGGACTATGAAATAAAATAAAAAAGAAGCCAAAGAAAGGTAGGTAGAAGAGTTCTCCAATCGCAAATCAAATACACGACCTAACTAGAACTCTGCAATTTATGCCACTGTCATATATCAAACAAAAATGCATAGGCGATTGCATATTGTGAAAGAGTCAGTGGCAGTGTTAGTATAGTAAATTAAAGTGCTTATAAACAAAGATTATATGATTGCCTAAATAGTTAGAAATCTTAGAAGTATTAAGAGTTGATTATTGCAAATTCTAATTTCCAGTAGCTTCTGATCCTAGAAATGGAATGATTTATGGTTTCCCAATCACATGCCCCGATGCCCACTAATGCAATGCATAAACCTCTAAATATTACTACGTATAATTCCACACATGATCCAATGCATACCATTCTACTGGAAATCTGGAATACATACAATTTACTTCTCTAATTCATCGTAACTTGTAGGACAAATCATAAGATTTGACCAAAATGAATAAAGAGTAGGCATGTGCATAAAAACTCTTCTTACAAAATGCATAGATGGGAGCGCAAACACACTCTAACTACGTGAGAATTAAAATAAATATAATAAGGTAGTCATCTCACATGTCTTGGTCAAAATAAGTCACACAAATAAAAAATAAAATAATAAAATAAATAAATAACTACTTATGCAAAACTGCAAAAGCTACTTCGTAACGGTAAGAGGCCCAAAACACAAACCCTGCATGTCTCGGGCTCATCCCAGCAGGAAGAGATTGAGGGGTGACAGCTTCCCCGGCCGTTGAAAGCTGCTTGGTTGCCTCCAGAGTGGAAACTGAAGAGGAAGAGAGTGGGATAAGAGAGGTCGATGGTCAAGATAGTGAGAGAGAGAGAGAGTCAGAGCAGAGTTTCAATGAAAAAACAACACACCTTTGAGACTTACGCCTCAACAAAATATTAAGACATTGTAGGCTTCAACACCTCAACCATTAGAAGCGTAAGCCTCTTCTTTTTGCAACAGCGTGCAAGCCTCAAAGCTTTTCCGCAATGAATAAAATTGAGACGAGCCTCAATACTGCCTTTTCAAACCACACTCCAAGTAAACTTATGAGTTATGACTATAAACCAGAAATAACTCTGCATAGCAGCACTAGTTTTTGAAGTTTTCTGAATTTTATTATTGATAGAACTCCATAAGAACTCAAAGTACAGCTGCATATTTATAGAAAACTAGTCCTAAGAAGTGTCTGTTCAGTACCCTAAGTGACTGTCCAGATTCTGAAAAATAAATGAATATAAACTGATTAGACAAATATTAATTACAACCTGAACATGCACTAAATACTCACTAAAGACTCATTATTACAGAAAAAAGACTCTTCTTTTTCTCAACAGATGCATCAACACTCCCCCTCAAGCTAGGTTTGTAGATATCCTTCTGAGGGAATGTGAAGAGGTTTGGTAAACACATCTGCAACTTGATCTTCTGAGGGAATGTAGCTTAGTTCAACCAGACCTCCTTCAACCTTTTCTTTAATGAAATGCCGATCAATCTCAATATGCTTGGTCCGATCATGTTGGACGGGATTACGAGCTATGCTAATTGTTGATTTGTTATCACACCTCAACTCCATTGGTCCCTTCCATCTTATTTGTAAATTAGAGAGAATAATTCTGAGCCATAGAATCTCACACAAGCCATGGGCAAGTGCTCTTAGCTCAGATTCAGCAGATGATCGTGCCACAACATTCTGTTTTTTGCTTCTCCATGTTACAAGATTTCCTGCCAGGAAAACACAGAAACCAGTAGTTGATCGGCGGTCAACGAGAGAGCCCCCATAATCTGCATCAGTGAAGGCTTTGGACTGATAACTGCCCCCCTTCCTGAACACTATTCCTTGTCCTGGACTTCCTTTCAAGTAGTGTAGAACCCTATAGGCTGCTTCTAGATGTGATTTCCTGGGATCATTCATGAACTGACTTAGGACACTAACTGCATAAGCAATGTCAGGTCTGGTATGAGAGAGATAGATAAGTTTTCCACATAGATGTTGATACATTGTTGAATCAACCTTGGGCTCATCAGTAGCAAGACCAAGCTTATGATTGGGATCAATAGGTGTAGTAACCGGTCGACAAGCACTCTTACCAGTTTCACTCAACAAATCTGTAATGTACTTCTGCTGACTGATAAAGATACCTTCAGATGAGCGGGCAACTTCAATTCCAAGAAAGTATTTTAGTGAGCCAAGGGACTTCATCTCAAATTTGGACTTCAGCTTCTTCTCAAGACCTTGTTTCTCAACTGGATCATTACCGGTCAGAATTATATCATCCACATATACTAAAAGAATAGTGACTCCACCTGTGCAAGAGTGCTTGTAAAAAAGAGTATGGTCACCCTGACTTTGACTATAACCAGCAGCCCTAACAACTTGGGTGAAACGGTCAAACCAAGCACGAGGGGATTGCTTGAGACCATAAAGGGCCTTTTTTAGTCGACATACATGTGTAGAGGTGCATATTGAAGTTTTATTGAAGCCTGGGGAATGTGCATGTAAATCTCGTCATGCAAGTCACCATGGAGGAAAGCATTCTTGACATCAAATTGCAATAAAGGCCAATCAAAGTGAGATGCCAAGGATAACAGGATACGAACAGTATTCAGCTTGGCTACAGGAGCAAAGGTCTCTTGATAGTCAATCCCATACGTCTGAGTGTATCCTTTAGCCACAAGGCGAGCTTTGTATCGCTCAAGAGATCCATCAACATGTCTTCCATGTCTTCCAGGAGGTTTATTCACAATATCCCAAGTATGGTTCTTTTCAAGAGCTTTAATTTCCTCTTGCATAGCATCCCTCCATTCTTTCTTTCTTAATGCTTCAGAAACAGAGTTGGGAATGGGAATTTCATTGAGTTTTTGAACAAACAAGGCATGAGTAGGAGAAATGTTATCAAAGGTAACAAAATTAGCAAGAGGATATAGAGGTGTTTTAGTACATTGGCGTACACCTTTGCGTAAAGCAATTGGAGGAGAGGGTGGTGTGGAAGAGTCATTACCCGGGTCAGCCGATTGGTCCTGCGTCAGCAATGTAGTGAACTCGTGTTTCTTTGAATACACTTTTGTCACTGGTGGAGGAGAAAGTGAGTCATGAGTGGAGGATTTAGCAGGTGTAGGAATGGGGTGATCTTGTGGTGAAGTTGATTCAGGTTCGGGATATGTTGAGGACTGTTGTGAACTAGGTGACATGGGTGAGATATCTAAAGATGGTGACATGTGATTAGGTGGTGATGGTAATGGGATGTTTGCTGATAATGGGTTAGAAGGGTAGGAGATTGTATGTGCTGGAGAAGGTGTAATAGTATAGGTGGGAAGAGATGATGGAGACGGGGTATCTTGAGATATAGGGAGAGAATTAGGACTGAAAAAAGGGGTGTCTTCGTGAAAGGACACATCTGCACTGGTGTAACTTCTTCTGGTGGCAGGATTATAACATTTGTATCCTTTTTGGGTTGGAGAGTAAGCCAAAAAAATACACTTGATAGATCGTGGGTCCAATTTCCCCCTATGAGGTGGAGGAATATGAACAAATGCAGTACACCCGAACACCCGTAAATCAAGATCAGAAGAGATTCTAGTTTGAGGAAAGAAGTGACAAAGAGAATCAAGAGGTGACTTGTTTTGGAGTACACGAGTGGGTAGTTTATTGATGAGATGACATGCTGTGAGTGTGGCTTCCCCCAGTAATGTTTAGGCATATTTGATTGGAACAATAAAGCCCGACTTACTTCAAGGAGATGACGGTTTTTTCTTTCTGGAGTGCCATTTTGTTGAGGTGTGTATGGACAAGAGGACTCATGAACAATACCTTTTGAGAGGAAATAAGAGGAGACCGTTTGATTGAAGTACTCAAGGGCATTATCAGTATGGGAGCGTTTTATAGTGGTAGAGAACTGATTATGAATCATATTGCAGAATATAGGAATAATAGTGCTCACCTCACTCTTGTTTTTTAGGAGAAAAACCCACATAAAACGTGTAGTCATCTATAAATGTAACGTACCACCGGGCTCCAGATATATTAACAACTGGAGCAGGGCCCCAAACATCACTATGTATAATATCAAAAGGAGAACGACTTATTGTATTACTTCGGGAAATAGATACACGAGATTGCTTAGCAAGTTCACATACATCACATTGTAAGGTAGAAACATCAATACTAGTGAAAAGGCTAGGGAATAAGGTTTTTAGGACATGGAAAGATGGATGACCAAGTCGCATATGATGAAGCCAAACAGTTTTGGTATTGGAAGTGACTGAGGTGAGAGCCTTTTGTGGAGGTTTGGAGACAAAAAGTGCATCAAGATAATACAGGCCATCTCTTTGCTTAGCAATTCCAATCGTCCTCCCCGTGCGCAGATCCTGTAAAAAGCAACAAGAAGGGAAGAAAATAGCAGCATAGTTAAGATCACCCGTGAGTTTAGAAATAGAAGCAAGGTTCATAGCCAAGTTTGGGACATGTAAGGTGTTCTTCAGATTAAATTTATCAGAAAAAACAATTGTGCCATGCCCTGCAACCTCTATAGATGTGCCATCAGCAGTAGTAATGTGTGTGGACTTAAAACATGGCTGGTAATTGGAGAATAAGGAGGATGCAGCAGTCATATGAGAGGTGGCACCTGAGTCTAATATCCATTTAGATTGTGGATTCTGTTCTGAAGCATTCGGACAAAAAATTGTAGAGGTTTTACCTTGCAAGGCTAAAGAGCTATGACCAGAACCATTTGAGGTATTAAGAGAGTGCAGCAGCAAACGAAGTTGCTGTATTTCCTCTTGGGAAATAGGTGAAAGGCTAGTAGAGTTCTCAAGAGTAGGAGTGGCTGAGTTAGCAAATCCTGCGCTAATTCCCCGTCTATCCTGACTTTTCCTTTCTTTCTGGAGATGATGATAAAGCTTCCAACACGTGTCCACATTATGATTGGACCGCTTGCAATGCTCACACCATTTTCCTCCCTTACTACTTTTAGTTCTCTTATCATCCGAAGAGGCCGAAGAAGTAGACCTGACAGCCAAAGCCGTACTGTCAACTAGCTTAGTGTTCATCATTATATTGAGCCTACTCTCTTCATGTTAGATAGTGGCAATGGCAGAAGATAGGGCTGGTAGAGGAGCAATGGCCAGAAGTTGAGACCGGGTCTGATCGTATTCTGGATTTAAACCAGACAAGAAGCAATACAGACGTTGCTGGTTTATATAGTTCTTATGAAGGGCTGCGTCTGCAGCATTAGACCACTTCATTGTTTGGTACTGGTCAAGTTCAGACCATCGCTGTTGGAGGTCAGTAGCATATTCTGTGACAGATTGCGAATCTTGCTTAAGATTCGTTGTTTGAAGCCATAAGTCATAGACGAAAGCACCATCTTTAGCAACAGAGTAGGATTGCTTTATGAAATCCCAGATTTCTTTAGCCGAGTCCATGTATAAACATGTACCGCTAATGTTGGGATCCATAGAGTCCCATAACCAGACTCGTATGTTGGCATTGGTTTTCTCCCAAATAGCAGCATCAATATCTCCTTCTTCTGGTGAAGAGGCAGTGAGATATATTTCAAGATCTTTGCCACGGAGGAGAGTGTAAACCAACTTTGACCATCCAAGATAGTTTCTCCCACTAAAACGGTAAGAAGGCGGGATAGAAGGGAGGTCAAATTTCTGGTTTCGAAGGGCAACCGCAGCTCCAGTAGCAGCTGAAACAATGGTTGAGTGGTCAAGGTGACTTGAGGCTGATTCAGCTTCTTTAGACATGATAAAACCCTTGATGAAGAGACTCCACCGGGAGTTAAAGAGAGAGAAGGGTAGAGACACCCAAAAAATGACTGTTGGAGAGGCGATAGACTCAAAAAAGGCTTAGACGAAACCTAGCTCTGATACCATGAAGTTTTCTGAATTTTATTATTGATAGAACTCCATAAGAACTCAAAGTACAGCTGCATATTTATAGAAAACTAGTCCTAAGAAGTGTATGTTCAGTACCCTAAGTGACTATCCAGATTCTGAAAAATAAATGAATATAAACTGATTAGACAAATATTAATTACAACCTGAACATGCACTAAAGACTCATTATTACAGAAAAAAGACTCTTCTTTTTCTCAACAGATGCATCAACAGTTTTCTTCAACCAATTGTATGTGGTACATGAAGAATGTAGAGGGGCAAACATGGTTCCCTTGTAAGTTCTAACTAGCCAAGGAAGCAGATCATGTATGGCCAAATAGAAAAACTGTTTCTTAACCTCAATCACCATAGCACTTCACTAACTAACCTAGCAAGCAGGTTTTAGTAAGAAACCATCCAACAAGATAACGACAAATCAATCCATTGCCATTATTTAATGAATACCAAGTATATGCTAATAAACGTTTATTTTTCAACTAGATGCAAGGAAGGCATGCTGATATAGCAACACGATTGACTACTTCACAAAGCTTGAGTAATTAGCTGAGCTACCCTTGAATCTTTTGCTAAGCACTTGTCAACAATAATAATGTCAAACAACAGCCAATCAACTATGAGGCCTTGCACATTTCTAATCATCTGATTCAATTTGATCAGTTCTAATAATTACACGAATAACACGACCCTCTCTGATTAAGCAAAGAAAAAGTAGGAAACCTCAACCTAAGAACATATTGGATATCTACTAACTGAAGTGGATAGCCATTTCACTTCACATAAAGGCAATTAAAAATAATGGATATCAAATTTACACAATTGACAAAATGTAAAAGAAATTGGGTACATTTTTTAGCTGTTTCACTTGCTTGCGAAGACCAGTGATCTCGTCATCCAAATCTCCGTGCATGGGATCGATACGCAACTGTATGTCATCCGAACCTCCAACCTGTCTTGTGCTTAATCCTTGTCTGTACAGATTCATCAGAAAATACACAAAACTGATTAGCGCACGTTTCGAATTCAAAGTTCCCACTCACGCTTCAAGTTTCATTACGCTTTGGTAAGACTAAAAGTGAGAATTTGATTGAGAAACATAACTAAAGAAGATCGTTGATTTTTGCTTACCTTGACCGATATGGGTCGGCGCCATAGAAATCACCGCCTCTATGAGAACTTGAAGCCATTCACCCAATACAAGTGTCTTTGAAATTCGATTGACAGTCCTTGTATCACTTGGGTCTCTCTTCCCCGATTCTTTTTCCTTTCCAGCAGAATAGCAGATTGGCAGATATAACTGATGTTTTGGAAGTATTAAAATGTGGAATGTTCCTAACATTCATGTTTAGGAGTAAAACTTATCCTTATTAATTTTAAATTAAATAAATAAATAGATAATATTCATTATTTTTACAAATTGTAAAAATAATGAATATATTGAGTTTGGAGATTGAAAAAATATTCTTTTTAGAAAATTCATTTTATGTTGTTTATTGATGAGGTAGTACGTTTTTTATGTAAATTTATTTGTGGGTACGGGAGCTCTACTTCATTATTTGTCTCACACCTAAAAATGAAGATGGAAGTCGTCGCTTATTACAGGCCTTTTTACTCGTTCTGTTTATATTTAATTATAATTTGATTTATTTCTAATCATTGTTTGTCTCCCACCTAAAAATTGAGGTCTCTCCATTGTGTATATGCATATGTACTAATAATTAAGTAGTACAACATATATGGACAAAAAACCACTTGAGAAGTCTGGTTATGTAATTAACTATTTTTTTCTTATTTAATTACTTCTTTAAAGTATTTAATAGGCTTAATTAATTTGAATCGTCTTCTTTTTCGCTTTTTAGGTGCGCGAGACTTGTAAGGGGTCTCTCACATCTAGACTCACCGAAACGATGCCATTCTCACCTTTTTTCAAAAGATTGATTTTCATATTAAAATATAAATGCCCCCTTTAAGAAAAAGGTTACCCCGCGGTTGTCTCATACTTGTTTGAGTGATTATAATTTCAAAAAAAAAACATGTTGGGTAATCCGGTAATGGAACGGACGTGGGATTGAGAAATTATCCAACCGGACATGTAAGGTTTTATGTATAATCATCCCTGACTCGCTCCATTATAGTTTCTAGTGAAAAGAAGGCTCTTTAATTCGCTACTCGTGTGAAACACCGTGAATATGTTTAGAGCAAGATTAGGCTATACGATGTCACCAGAAGATTGGTGTGACTCACTTTGGTAAACAAGAAAAATGTGTGGTGTTGACCTTTTGTGTACATCTTTTGTGTACACACGTCTGTCCACAGCAGACGAGTTGTTTGTCCACAGACAACTCTACACAAAAGGTGTACACAAAAGGTCTACACCAAGCAAAGTTGAGTAAACAATGACAGAGAAGTTTTTGTTTGGACTAGTTCAGCCTGAGAGCAGATGAAAATATATCATACTGCCTCTGTCCCGAAAAGGTTCGCCATATTGACTTTTCTTAATCAAAGATGATAAACTTTGGACGATGATTTTAATTATTATATTTGTATATGATTTATATTTTTTGTACTTTATGGAAATATTTTGAATGGGAAACATTTTGATATAATTTACATATTTTTTAAATAATTTCATATCAAGAAATACTCCCTCTGTCCCCTTTTAAATGTCCCGGAAGAGGGTGGCACGAGTTTTAAGAAAAGTAGGTTTGTGTGGTTGATATTAATAGATAAAGTAAGAATAAAGTAAGAATGATTTGGAGCCACACAAACTTTACCAAATAAGGTATGAGACAATTAAATAGGGACATCCCAATATGGTAAAATGGGACATTTATAAGGGGACGGAGGGAGTATCACTAGTCAAAGTTGATTGTCATTGACAAAAAAAGGTTAATTTGTCAAACATTTTCGGGGCGGAGGGAGTATCACATTTGAAAGTATCAAACAAGATTTCTACTCTTATAAAATACACACAAATTAGACCAAACTTAAACAGGTTATACTAGACTTAAATAGATGAGACTTAAACGAACCACATCATTAATTATAAAATGAATTAATTTCACTGTTGGTCCTACGAGTTTTGTGCCAATTCCACTTTTAGTCCACGTCTTTCACTCCGTCCAATTTTGATTCTTGACTAACGTTTTTTAACTGGTTGGGGTCCGTTTCCGGCGATTTTAAGCATCGTAAATAATGGCGGAAGGACCATATATGGGCGAAAACTCAATAGTCATGTATCAAAAGTGGACAAAGTGAAAGATGTGGACTAAATGCGGAATTCACCTGAAACAATACTGAGTCGCGACTCGCATAGAAGTTGTTTGGGTTTTGAATTTTTGATAGAAAATGAAGCTTGACATCTGAACCGGTATGATCAATTTATTTTAAGGAGAACTATCAAATAAGCCCTCGGGCATTTATAAAAAGTGCAAATAAGCCCTTTTATAGGAGGCTTTGTCCGGCTGTCGACATTTGGGGCGGTTTCCGGTAGAATTTTTTGATGAAAGTTTTTGAGCATCTTCTTCATTAAGTCTAGTTTACCCATACCAAAATTTAGCTAAACATTCAATCGAGAAGGCAGTCAAATGATTTTCTGAAATATACCGCGATGTCTAACTGCACAGTTATCTTCAAAAATTCATTTGATTGGCTTCCCGATTGAATTTTTAGCTGAAATTTGGTATGATTAAACTAGACTTAATGAAGAAGATGCTCAAAAAAATGTCTATCAAAAGATTCCACAAAAAACCGCTAAAAATGACGATAGTCGGACAAAGCATTATGTAAAAGAGTTTATTTGCACTTTACTAGGATAGGAGGCCTATTTAAGTTATTTGATTCGACAGTTCTCCTAAAGATAAACTCATCTTACCGGTTTCAGATATCAAACTTCGTTTTCTATCAAAAATTCAAAACCCAGACAACTTCTATGCTACTTGCGAGTCGCGACTCGGCCGACTCCCAGTGAGCTTCCCCAATTCGATGAAGAGGCAGTGAGGTACTGATTCAAGTATTCAACTCCAATCCAGGCATCGACGGACTCCCATCGGCTGGAACGAAGCTTCCCAACAGCGACGACTTACACAGACGATGAAGAAACCTGCGACAGAGGCATTAAGGGACACTCGGTTCTGTACTCAGTCAGTTTAATCTAAGAGGCGGCTTATTTCAAAATCTCCATTCCAGGTTCTTTAATATATTAATCTGAATAATTTCACCTCCTATGAGCTTTTCTTCTTTCAATTTTCAAACATCCATTTTTTCCTTGTTGAACCGATTAACTTTTTTGCTAAATGCTCTTTTGTTGATAATTTTAATTAGGCTTTACTGAATCTCAATAGAAGATGAATAAATGAACTGTCAAATGAAGTTGGTTACCATTTTTAATTGTATACTCTCTGGATTTGTAGTGACTCGTGAAGGTTAGAATTCTTATTATTAAGTATTTAAGTTCATAATGGAATTTCATAATATCAAAATAGTAATTAGCTGCTAATATAGGTAGTTACTGTGAATTTGCATTTCTATAATTGAATTTAAGTTTAGCTAGTTGTCTTCCAGCTAGTTGTAATTAAAAATCATTCAAGTTTTCTTTTTTCTTTTGGTTGACATTTCAAGTAGATAGAAATAGTTCCCCGTTGTATAGTTTTTTGTAAAGCTCTGTGATGGATAGTGTACCAGGGTAGCTTATCCGAGGGGTTACTGCGGGAGTAACTAGAGAGAAGTCAGAGCAAATAAGTAAGAGAGAGAATGTATTCGATTATGTGAACTTGTTGTGTTTTACAATGGGGAAATGGGCTGCTATTTATAGTAGCAATAAATGCTAGATAGGAACACGTGTCAACAATATGGTGGTCGAGGGGTCACCTTAACTGGAGTGGCACTGGCACTCGCATGTTGCCGCATTAAATGTGGTGGTTGGATGTGACGTTTGTACTTGGTGCGGCGATTCAGCGCATGTGGAGAGGAGATTCGGCTGTAGGTGACAGCCCGAAGGCTTTTCGTACCGGGGGCCTTATAGTGCCGAGGGCTTCAATTGCCGAAGGCTTGGTTCTCAAGCCTTATTTTCCTGTGATGTTTTTGAGCTCAAATCTGTAAACGGTAGCCTTCGGCCATGTCGTCGAAGGCACTCCCATGTGCGTATGGTGGGCTGCTTAGAGCTTTGTCTTGCTGGGCTTGGCCCGCTTGGGCCTGTTGGGCCTTATTGCAGTAGTGGAAGTATGTGGGCCGTGGGTCCCTGGGCCATATACTCTATCACTCTGGTTATTATTATACTTTAGGCTATTGGAGAGTTGTGGAAATAAAAAGACTTCTTTGCACAAGTTTCTTAGATGCACAACTCCTAGTTTAATTACACCTTAGATGCACAAAACCTAGCTTACAATGACTAGTGCTGAATGTAAGAAACTAAGAACTTACTGACAATAGAATACACAAAAAGATAATTAAGAATCTATTATATGTGTTTAGGTCCTTTAGATTGATTATGCAGCCTACTACTATGTCTCATTGATTGAGGAATGAAATTTATAGCAGGGAGCTAGAAATTATGTGTTAGAGGGGCCATAATTTACCAATATTAGTTATACACAATCGTTTTTGGATAGATTACTTGTGTAAGTATACCACTAGGGCCCAGGGGTTGTGCATCTCGACAATTCTTTTTACTAAGAGCCAGTTTCTTATTGTTTATTCTTTTTTCTTTGCAGCTTCAATGAGGAATATTGATGATTTGTTAGAACTTGAAACTTAAAAGTTCTATTTTCTTTTATTTTATGTTGGAAGAAGCATTGGTGATTGATTTGAATCTTATATTTGATTCTTGTTCTATGAATATAGACTATCAGACTGCGTGTATTTACTTTTACCAGGAATTTTGTTTGGTGATCGTTGCAGATTTATTAGAACATTGTTTTTAAAGGGATTTGAGCTGTGTTTATATTTGCAATTGCTTGGATTATGATAATTTTTTACTGGCTTTGTTTCAAAGCAAAGATTGGTAGTTTCTAGGAGAAATTTATTAATTCTGTTTTCTTGGATTCATTTGGGTTTGTTTGATAGTTTCTTTAACTGGTTTATATTTATAAGGGTAGTATATAAGTGTTTTATTTTCTTCAGTGCTTTTATCTTGGCTATTGTAGTCTTGTAGGCCATTTATTTATCTAATTTTAAGGTTAAAAGTGGTAAACCTAAAAAACATTATGTGATGAAAAAGAACCAAAAACCCAGACCGAACCAACTCGTTTCAAACGGGGCGGGTAAGGTCTGGTTCCTATAATGGGAATTGATGTACAGGCCAGATCTACCGTGTTAATTGAACCGGCGGTTCTTAATTTTTTTTGTAGATAACTTGCCCCTACCCAGCACGTGCCCTCCCCTAATGGCAGCATGCGCGTATCCTTAGCATAGACCATAGAGTATCCAGTGCAAAGATCAACTCTTCCATGTATCAACTATCCAGTACCTTCTGCCTCTTTACTTCGCTTTCCAGCTCGCTCTTCTCCATCTTGACAGAAGCTCTCCCGACCTAAGTCCCAACCAATAATTCCACACTCCTTCATAGGGCTTGCTCCTTTTCATCCGCTATTATCCCTTTTTTTATCATACTAAATTGTCACCACTTGCAGATACACAGAATTACATAATTGTCACTTTAAAAGTTAATTCTTTTTCGTTTTAGTATTCTCTTCTGATATTTTCACCAGAAGGCAACTAATTGTAGTTACGGAGAACATGGTGATTATTACTTTTATTTATTTGAAATGATTGCTAATGTCCAAGTGCCTATGAGGTTAGAGGGTAAAGAGTCTTTATGGATCTTAGTCTCTTACCCTTTTATCTCCATTGGTCATATATAAATAGAGCCAAACTAGTTATAAATGGTTGGTCATCTATTCTCAGAACTAGCATAACTATTGACAAGGTATTTCCTTAATTGTGGTCATGGCATTTGGTTTATTATGGTCTAGTAATTTGCTTAGTTCAGTTTATGGATGTTGTGTTGATTTTTAAATGGAAAATTAAAACCCTTTGAGATTGGTCTTGTAGTTATGGCCTAACGTTGGTTTTGTTGAAGACAGTTAGGTGGTGTTTGGAGTTGATTCTGGTTTTGCTTCTTTTTTAAGAGCAAGAGCAGAATCAGAATCAGTTTTTGAGAAGCCGTTCTCCTCAAGCTTCATAAAAACTGCTTCTAGAAGCAATTTGGAGCACCCAGAAGCACTTATGCACTTTCACCCAAACACTCCAATATCTGCTTGTGCTCCGTGAAGGAGCAGAAGCAGTTTCCAGAAGTAGATCCAAACACCCCTTAACTTATAAATGTATTGGTTTTTTACATTCCAATTCTACCATAATGACAGTTTTAAGGGTATTTCATAAACTACAAATTTATATATATTGTATATAAACTATATTAGATTAGATGAATAGTGTAGATATGTATCTATGATAAAGTGACAAACACTAAAAGGTAAAATACAAATACTCAGTAGAAAAATATGTGCCTTATCCATATGTATAGTTTAAGTACTAATGATGTACAATATAACATTGCAATGGATTTTAGTATTTTACAATTTTTAACCTCCCATAATTGAATTATTATAATGTCCAGGCTCTTCATTAACTCGGTAGCAAACTGGTCAAAGAGGCTTCTCCTGGTTAGTACCTTCAGCCAAAACCGCCGCATAGACTTGTAGATATCTTTGAGAGAAAATCATGACCTCATTCTAGTTATCTGGGACATGGCTCATTTTAGTTTGGAAGGCGGTACATGTAAATTGAATTTTCTTTGGAGCATTAGACGGCATGTATATTTGCATAAATGCCTGCAAATGGTCTGCACAATGCTGGCTGTCTTTGAATTCTAGACTTCCTATAATTATGTTTACCGTTTCATTGTGAAACTGAATGGCCCCATTATGTGAAAGTGGGGTTTTCTTTGTCCATCTTTTAAGTACATAGTTAAAGCAGCAAGTTAAGTTATTTGTTTTTTATTGTGGCATGCAGATTTTTCAGCACCATTATGGGTGCAAACAGGCATCGAACTAGCAGTTTCTCTCGTAACATTGCTGCTCCCGTGGCACCTATTTCTGGAGTTAAACATGGTCTCAATGGAGCTATGTTTGTTTCATCTGGCATATGTGATCTTGACAGTAATTTCAAACCCATATTTTTTCCTTTTACCATTTCAAAGTAGTCATACATAGAAAATAGAATACTGTATAAACAACTAGGTTGGAAGGAAGTTGATAACTGATCACTTCTGTATTTTATGGTTACACTAGGGATTTTGGGTGGTGGATTCTCGATGGGGAGCCTTGTGTTGGTGATGGAGGACCTTGAGGCACCTCATCATATGCTTTTGTTGAGAAATTTCATGTCTCAGGGTATTGTTCTCAAACAGCCACTGCTTTATGCCAGTCCTGAAAGGGATCCCCGTGTTTTTCTGGGTACTTTGCCAAGCCCAATGCCTTCCAAGGACGACAAATCCCTAGAGAGGGACGTAGAACAGGTTTTCTACTTTGTTTTTTACACTAAATTTACAATTGTTTTCCCATGCTAGTTATTAAAATAGGTGGAAAAGTTTTTCAAATGCTAAATACACATGTAAATCACAGGATAAGGGTTTAAGGATCGCTTGGCAATACAAAAAGTATTTTGGGGAGCAAAGTTCTGATGGTCAGCAAGGTAAAATTGGTTGAACAGCAATTGCTATTTCCACCTCTTTATATGCCTTTATCTTTTATCATGAGAAACTTTTTCCCATTTGAGCTAGTTTCATGCAAGCAGTTGTGAGTTGCCAAAAAGAAAAAAATAAGATCGAAATGCTTCATTTAAACCATATGTAATTCTCAATATTACAAAGTAGTATGTTGTTATTGTTATTACAGTTTATTGGCATAATTCATGCTTTGTATTATGAGCTCCCTGGTTTGCATGTTGGACTGTTGGTTTTGCAATGTCATTCATCTAGTGGACATAACAATAGAAAATATCTCAACTCCTCACTTTATCATGATATTCTCCATGCATGTGGAAGTAATCTATGAGGATGATGTTTTAGAATTTTCATCTCATTATGTTAAGGAGGCGAGAGCTAGCCCTAGTCCAGGGATGTGTTCGAGATATTAATCGGGAAAGAGACGAAGAATCAGTATAATTTAATGAAGCTATTCTTGTTAAATTAATCGGCGCCCGACATTGTCAAGACGCACAAATTAATTCTCCAAAACGTACTTTATTCCATAACAAGAACCCCTTTGTATAGAGAGGCTGCTTAGAGTTCTAAATAGGAAAGGAAACAAGAATTAGAAATAAAACTAGAATCATGACTTATAAGAATTAGGAAACCGTATTCTTTTTCCCAGTTCAGCCATATAAAGTAACTAGAATAAGGAAATATACTAGAACTAGGAAACTAACTAGAATTAGGAAACTATATCCTTATTCCCAACTTTAGTCACTTTCAATTGTTGACTCTTGGGCCTTTGGGCCATTTATGCGTCGTTTATAAGTGTGGCCCCAAAAGGAGTCCACAACATCACTCCCCTCGTTAGCAAAGAGCTTGTCCTCAAGCTCAAAATCCGGATAAGCCACTGCGAAATGACGCCACTGTTTCCCAAGAAGCTTCTTCTATGGACTTCTCATGCCACTGGACCAGCACCTCCATTACCCCACGATTAAGCCGACTGCGCAGCACTGTGGATGGCCTCAAAACCTCTGGCATAGTATCCAGTGGTGGCAAGGAGCCCATGGTTTCTGGTATGGGTCCTTTGTGTGGCTTGAGGAGAGATACATGAAAGACATTATGTATGCGGCTCTGTGTGGGTAACTCTAGCTTATAGGCCATTGTACCATTCCTTGCAGTGACTTGAAAGGGCTCTCTGTGGTGACGGGAGACCAGTGTCAACTGCCGGTATGGATGCACACGTAACCAGACCCAATCACCCACTGTGAAAGACAATTCACGGTGCCCTTTGTCATAGTATTGTTTCATGCGGTTCTGTGCGTGAGCTAATCGTAGTCTAGCCTCAGATATGATGTTGTCGCGGTTAAGGAGTTCCTTCTCTACACCCTCTAACTTAGCTGTTCCAGGAGTATATGTCACCAGTTTGGGGGGATCTCGTCCATAAACTAATCAGAAAGGGGTGTCACCCAAAGCGGTGTGGTAAGAAGTGTTGTAACAATACTCCACCCATGGAAGCCTACGAACCCACTCGTGAGGGTGTGCGCTAGTTAGGAAACGCAAGAACATTTCTACCGTGCAATTGACAATTTTTGACTGGCCATCTGTTTGAGGATGGTAGGCCGAAGAAAAAGCAAGTTTGGTTCCTGACAAACGAAATAACTCCCGCCAAAAGTTACTCACAAAAATTTTTTCTCTGTCTGAGATGATGGATTCTGGGAGTCCGTGGAGTCTGACAATTTCAGCAAAAAAGATCCCTGCCACCGAGACAGCAGTGAAGGGATGGCTTAAAGGAATAAAATGCGCTGCTTTAGACAATCTGTCGACGACCACCAGGATTGTGGACTTGCCGTGAACCTTCGGTAAGCCTTCCACAAAATCCATTGAGATATCGGATCAGATGTGTTCCGGGATTGGCAACGGTTGGAGTAATCCTGCCGGTTGTAAGTTTAACCACTTGTGTTGTTGACATGTTTGACAATCGCGGATATAATTTGGAGTTTTTTTCCGAATTAATGTTAATTAATTAATTAATTACGAAAATAATGCTGGTAAAAAATATTTACCGATCTACTGCTGGGTTTAACCATGGTTAGGGAAAGTCGCCCAACGGTTGGGCGACATATAAGTCGCCAAACGGTTTGGCGACTTATAAGTCGCCCAACCGTTGGGCAACTTTCCCCTTCCATATAAACGCAGACCAACAACTACTGCTAGCCACACACGATCGTGCCCGGACGGGTAGGCACGATCGTGCCTAATTCCGAAAACAGAATTTCATCAGTTTTTTGCCCCATTTCAACCCAGACTCATCTTTTTGCTATAAATAAGGTCTCCCTTCTCCTGTTTAAGTGTTACGAGCGAGATGCAACACATTATAAAACATACAACACACATGTTCACAAACACATACATAAACACATACAACTCACCGGTAAAACACAGTACAATCATCAAACATTCATAACAATTAATCATCTAATATTCATACTCGAACACATAAATACAACATACAAAAGAAAATACGTAACATTTTGTAAATTGTTCCTACAACATCTAAAATGTTGTAAATTATCTAAAAGGTTGTACAAGAAAAACTGCAATACAAAAGACAAAGTAGAAGTTGTCATGGTCATTTTGATCACTCGACCTAGGATCCGCTGTCACCTGCATGCCTACAAACAAATAAAATCGTATTAGTTAATTTTTACTATTATACTAATTCTTTTTTTTAATCATCAATTTTATTAATGTGAATTACTATACTTAACACCTTACCCACTGGACCCCCCATCGTGTCTTGATGATCTCTTCGCACATGTGGCCCTATTATGGCCGGTTTGGTGGCATTTTCCACATCTAACCGTTCCTCGGGGACCTTCATCCATCTCATTCTTAATACGTGTGGACTCAGGTCTTCCCTTAGCCCGAAGTATGGATGAATCGTGCACGATTTCAGGTCCATTGTAAGTAGGCCAATAATCACGATCAGGAATGGGTTTGAAGACTCTATGATATGTGGCCGCGTATTGGTCAAATGAGAAAAACTTATCCACAAATGGAGCATAAGACAAGCTACGTTGTCTGCACACGGCTAACACATGGGAGCATGGAATCTTATATATCTCCATCTTTTTACAAGTGCAAGTTTTCCGTTTCAGATGGACAGTTTGTTTTCTCCCACCCTTCCCCAACGTTCGGCCACCACAACCGGTTTCCACTTGAAATAACCCTCGGCCTAAATCAAATGGAGTAACTGTGTGATGCTTGGCCTTCTCTCTAGCAAAGAACGGCTAGGATGAATCATTGTGGCTGTATGTATTTTTTGAAGGATCTCGAGCATGCAAGCACCACGACAAACCATGACAAATGTGGTTGTACCACCTTCATGGCATATTTGACCAGCATCCTCATAATAGTTCCCTCCCCAATGACACACAATTGGGAAGCTTGAGAAATCCATATTCTAATAACAATTCAAATATATCCAAAAGTCAAGATTCACAAACAACTCACATTTCAATATGAAATACCCAAATTTTGATATCTACATTCAAGTCTACATTTCAATACCCAAATTTAGCTACATTCAAATCCACCCAAATGCCCAAATGTCAAAATATATACATGTCAAAATCAATTTCAAATCAAATTTGAACATTTCATAATCTAAAAATTCCAAAAATTTAACATTCAAAACCCTAAGTTAAAAATGAGATGAAATGGAGTTTGATTTACCTACAAGAAAGAAGAAAGAGTGTTGAAGATGGAGGTTTTCCGGAGTGGGGTCGTCGGATATGGAAGTTCGCTGGAGATGGAAATGGCTCGGTCGTCCTTCGTCTTTCGTCTTTCGTAGCTGCTGCTTGGGGGATTTGGGGGTTGGGTTTCATTCGCAGTGTTCTGTTTTGTGGCTGGGCGCTGTTTTTACTTAATGGAAAGTCGCCCAACGGTTGGGCGACTTTCCCTGACCACGGTTAAACCTAGCAGTAGATCTGTAAATACTTTTAACCCAACATTATTTTCGTAATTAATTAATTAATTAGCATTAATTCGAAAAAAAACTCTATAATTTGCCACTGAATTTTTCATGCCCGTCCAATAAAATTCATGCCGCAGACGTTGGAGAGTTTTTGTGATGCCTTCATGTGCCATCTCGTGGAAGACGGATAAAAGGGTAGGTATTATTGTGGAGTCGGGTAGCAGGAACGGTTTGTGCTTGAAATAAACCAGTCCATCATGCAAGGTCCATTCAGGAGTGCGATTACCGGCTAGAATTTGACTTCTGATATCCTGAATTTCTGTAGACTGATTGTATCGCTCGAATCTCTTCCAACAAGGTGGTAAAAGGAATTGTGAGAGCTGCCACAGCAGGCTCCAATCCGTCACGTCGAGATAGAGCATCAGCAACTGTGTTAAGGCGTCCTGGTTTGTATTCAACACGAAAGTTAAATCCCATTAACTTGCTGAGCCAGTGTTGTTGGGGGGACTTAGTCAAACGCTGGTCCAATAAATGTTTTAAGCTGGAGTGGTCGGTGCGGATGAGAAATTCTTGACCCCACAAATAAGGCCACCAGTGAGTCACTGCTTTAGCCAAACCGATGAGTTCCCGTTCATATGCGGCTAATTTCACATGGCGGTCTGCAGTTTTACGGCTGAAATAAGCTATCAGGTGCCAGAAGCATCGCATTCCACAATGAAAGGTTTAGTGAAATCTGGGAGCTGAAGCACAGGTGTGGTGGACAAACGGAGTTTCAGAGTTGTGAAAGCTGCTTCTGCTGCTGCGTTCTAGGTGAACTCATTCTTTTTCAAGAGTTGGGTTAAGGGTGCCGCGATCTCTCCATAATGCTGAATGAATTTGCGGTAGTAGCCTGCTAACCCCAAGAACCCTCGTAAGACAGTGATAGAGGTCGGGGTAGGCCACTCACGGACTGCCTGAATCTTTGTCGGGTCAACTTCCACTCCCTTGTTGTGGATGACATGCCCTAAGTAATGCACCTGGGAGGCCCCGAAGCTGCACTTCGACTGCTTTAAGAAGAGACCATGTGACCTTAACAGTTCTAGGACTAGGCGGATGTGATACATATGCTCCAACCATGTCTTGCTATAAATGAGGATATCGTCAAAGAAGACCAAGACAAACTTTCGGAGATACGGCCCAAATATATCATTCACTTAAGCTCTGAAACGTGGATGGTGCGTTAGTCAGACCAAATGGCATGACGAGGAACTCAAAGTGTCCATGATGTGTCCGAAAAGCTGTTTTATCCACATCCTCAGGGGCCATGCGGATTTGATGATATCCCGAGCGTAGGTCCAGTTTCGTGAAGTAAGTTGCTCCGTGAAGCTCATCCAGTAGCTCATCAATTACCGGAATGCGGAATTTATCTTTAACAGTCTTGGAGTTTAACTCTCTGTAATCGACGCAAAAACGCCAAGACGTGTCGGGTTTACGTACGAGGAGTACCGAAGAGGAGAATGGAGAGCGGCTTGGTTGAATAATCTCCCCTGCGCCAACATTTCAGCACACTGTTTTTCAATTTCATCTTTCTGAAAATAAGAGTAGCGGTACGGACGAACCACAACTGGACTCGTGCCTGGGAGTAAGGTAATGCGGTGATCACATGCACGTTGGGGTGGAAGGCCGGAGGGGCTGTGAAAGAGATCATCAAAATGAAACAGAAGCTCATTGAGAGAGGGTTTAGAACTGTCTGGACAGATTGCCATGTGAGAGACAGCTGAAACGTCGGCCCCGCGACCCTGCCAAGTACCGGCTTGCCATTCCAAGTAAACTGCATGGAGAGCTTGGAGAAGTTCCATTGTATGGAGCCAAGCCCACAAAGCCATTGGATGCCCAAAATCATATCAAAACCGGACAACGGCAGTCGGCAGTACATAAAAATCTGCGTGAAAGTGATCATGATTAACAGTGAATGGAAGTCGCGAACATGTCCCAATGATGGGTACCCGATCTCCATTAGCCACCAAAACATGTAGGCGGGTGCCAGAGTGTTGCTGCAGGCTGTTCACGGGGACCCAACGTTGGTGGATAAAATTGTGAGTACTTCCCGAGTCGACCAAAACCTTCAGAGACTGACCAAACAAGGTTGCGGCTAGTTGCATGGTGGAATGTGACCCGAACCCAGTCATTGCGTTGATTGACAGGGAGGGCTCACTCTGGGTTTCAGGGGCCTCTTCAAAGTCGTCATCCACAATTTCGATGAAAAATAATCGTTTGCACCGGTGGCCACGGATCCACTTTTCATCACAGTTGTAGCATAATCCCTTTTCTTGTCGTGCAGCAGCTTCAGCCTGGTTAATTTTTTAAATGTAGGGTTGTAATTTTTCTTTACTGGTGTCTGCTCAGGGATAACGGAGTGAGGAATTTGAGTGCTTGACCTACCAGATCCATATGTTCTGTTGTTTGTTGAGGTCGCAGCTGCGAATTTTTCTTGTTGCGCTCGCTGCTTCTGGCGAGCATCATGGTTGTGTCAAGATCAACGGGTTTCTGGTATTCGACCTCCACGCGTACTGTCTCTCGAAGTCCAGCCATAAAAAATTTGATTTGCATGCAAGTTGACACTCCAGCTGTGCGGGCTAGCAACTGCTGAAACTTAGTAATATAAGACTCTAAGTCAGACGTTTGCTTTAAATTCACCACATCACCCTCCGGGTTGTGGCTGCTTGGGGGCCCAAATCATTTTGAACAACGGATATAGAACTCTGTCCAGTTAAGGCTTACTCCTGCTGGATCTAATTGGTCTGCCCAGAGTTGGGCATTACAGTCATGTGAAAAGTAGTCAACCCTACTTGTGCCTGCGGTTGGATGCGCTGCTGGACGAAGAACCGCTCGCACCGCTTCAGCCACGCTAATGGATCACTGGATCCATCGTACCGGGGAAACTCCAACTTGGAGTACCGTGGAACCATCCCATCGTCAGAGTCGCGTTGGTGGTTATCAGTATGCCGTGGCCGTCCAGCATGTAGACTGGATGATGGGGGATCCTGCAACAATTGGTTGAGAGTGTTTGACAGGCTGGTCACAGTTTTACTCATCTCACCAAAAGCTGCTGGAAGTCCTGCCAAGTCGGTTACGGTGTTCTTGATATCAGCTAACTGTTCTTCAACGTCAAGTTGTCGTTGATCGACGCCTTGTAGTAAGGCCTTCAACGCATCTGTTGTCACCGGAGCGTTGCCCATCGTGCCCAAATCTGATACCAAATTGTTAAGGAGGCGAGAGCTAGCCCTAGTCCAGGGATGTGTTCGAGATATTAATCGGGAAAGAGACAAAGAATCAGTATAATTTAATGAAGCTATTCTTCTTAAATTAATCGGCGCCCGACCTTGTCAAGACGCACAAATTAATTCTCCAAAACGTACTTTATTCCATAACAAAAACCCCTTTATATAGAGAGGGTGCTTAGAGTTCTAAATAGGAAAGGAAACAAGAATTAGAAATAAAACTAGAATCAGGACTTATAAGAATTAGGAAACAGTATTCTTGTTTCCCAGTTCAGCCATATAAAGTAACTAGAATAAGGAAATATACTAGAACTAGGAAACTAACTAGAATTAGGAAACTATATCCTTATTCCCAACTTCAGCCACTTTCAATTGTTGACTCTTGGGCCTTTGGACCATTTATGCGTCGTTTATAAGTGTGGCCCCAAAAGGAGTCCACAACACATTATTCCTTATTAAGGTGTGACATCATGGGCAACCGGCTTAAAGCATTTCTACTATGGTTTATTGCATGAGTTTATAGTACTGTGAAGCTTTACACAATTAATCGACGCTATATGTTTAATGTCACTTACCCCAATTGGTTGGGTAGTTTGGGTTATGGTTCTGATAATGATAGTGATGTTTATATTTATACTTTTTATTGTGAGTAGTTTTTACTTTTATGGTGTATTGGAGTCTGTGTATCAATTAAGAATATAACTTTATGCCTATTTTTCTTGCTTTCCATTGAGTTGCCCTCACTCTATCTTATCAAGTAGATGCTACCAACACGTAAACATATTGTAGTTGCATGTGAAGAGAAGCTAGTCTACTGTGTCATGCAGGTGGGAGAGATGAATATTGCAATGACTTTGACCTGCGAAAGCCATTGGAGCGGCATTTTCTTACTGGGCCACACATTGGTTGCTTTAGTCTTCAGGGTTTTCCCAATCTAGACCCTCTTCGTCAGACTTGCTCAAAATTCTTTGCACAAGTTCCAAGGTATTAGCATGCTTTTATTTCCACTTTCGCTCATATGTTTAGGCTTCTCATTGACGGGATTAGTCGTTCATGAGTCATGACCAGTGAATGAATATGGTGCTGCATGTGCCTAGATACTATAGTATGAAAAAGTTGTTCAGTGACTAAATAAACAGTGATAGGGTTGTGTTAATCTTGTCTCTTCTAGTTTAAGATTTTAAAATCTGTTAAACGCTTCAGAAGCAATGCTTATCGAGGATTTTTGTGCTATCAAATGACATGGGATAAGAACTAAACTTCATTAGGACTAAAAATCTTGGGTAATATAGGGTGCAAAGTGCAAACACTCATCTTATGCACAGATTTCCATGACAATTTAAGGTACTCCCTCTGTCCCAATTTAAGGTTTCCACTTGCTCTTTTTTAGACCTAGAATATCAGGTTTCCACTTTCCTTTTCGGGAAAATAGTAAGGTGTTGAATGGTAACTTTATCATCACATCTTTAAATAAATACATTCATAGTAACAACATTATTCATGAATTACTCCTCCCAGTTATACTCCCGCCCACACAATTATATACTTTGATTATTTACCTTTTTAAATCTTTCTCTTTCGTCTGTTCTATGCTCAAACTATTTTATTTAACCACTTGCCTAAAGAACACCCCCTTTTGCACAAGTTCTAAAAACCGAACTTTTCTTCGTAGAAGTGGCAGAAACGACAGTGTATGTTTCTACACTTTATTTTCGTTTGCGTAGGGAGGAAAAATGGTTATGTATTTTGTGTCTGATTGCAATGCTACTTTTTTTTTGTTTCCAGATATGATGGCAACATGGCTTACCCGGGTAGAATTGCCATTCAGTCACTATGTGCTCCTCAGTGTGAGTTTTCCAACAATGTTAGTAACAATTGACGATTCTCAACTTTAATTTGTTACTTCTTTTTGGTTTGTTATTGATTTAAAGTTTTTGTTCAAAGTGAAAATACTTTCAGTTTTTCAAAGATCTTTGAAATGCTGCTTTTACCGAGTGCAGGAGTGGGATATACTGTCCTTCATCAGATCTTTGAAATGCATGATAAGGTCCTCAAATTCAGTAGCAGTCGTAACTGTACCTTCTTCTCTTATTTCACCAACCTTCTTGAAGAGATTGCAGCATCTAGCTGACACTTTGATATCCGTTCAACCAATTCCAGGTGTGTCTCTACTATTAATTGAATGTTGCTGTGTTAATATATATATATATATATATATATAACTCATGATGCTTGGATCAGACGAGAACGAGGAGTTGGCAAAGCTTCTGACTGGTTACCAGGACATGCTTGGCCTTCTAAATATGCACAAGGTGGGACGTCATAATACGCAGGTGTGTGCTTTGACCTCTCAACTAGATATCTAGCTCTTCATGTATCTATCACCTGTCCAATTAATACAAAGCTTTCAACAGGTTCCTGTGGTTCTTGAGGCAACCACATTCTCGATTAAGCTCCACAAGCGACGGTCATTGGTTTTGGAGTGTTTAAATCAAGCCCCTGTTGATGGTTCAAGTGGGACCTCATATGGTTCGGTAGGTAGTTGCTCCGGGAGTTCCCAAACAGGGCCCTTTGACTTTTAGTTGGTTCTACATGGTGCATACTGTCAATTTTCAGGAGCGTGAACATATTTAAGTTAATACATCATGTAATGGTCAATGTCTGATTTTTTAACACATCATAGTTGATCTGATCATATTTAGAGATGAGGTGTTGTTCTGAACTGGCGACAGGTGTAGTTGATACTCATTATTGCATCTTCTTTGCTATTTGTGGAAGTGTCATTGAGAACATTTGATGTACATTAGTTAGATTTGAAGTGATTTTTATATAAACGAACAAAAGATGAACATTATTTTCATAAGAAAGTTATCCAGAACAAGCGATCTTAAAAGTGAAAACATTTAAACTTTAAGTTGTGTCATGTGTGTTACTCATATTTTCACCTCCTCTCCTCTCAATATATAGACTATTGGTCAAAATTATGCTCATGATTTTTTTACTTTTTACTTCATCAGATAATTATATGAAGTTAAATGATATAAATAATGATATGATGGTAAATAGTAGATATAATCAAAGCTGAACTTGGTAATTATGACATGATCTCAAGGTGGTAAAAGTAAATTAGCCTTAGGGTAGGGTTGATGGTGAAGAGGATGCCCTGTGATCAGGGGATTTTGGCCTTCTCTTAGGGCGGAGGTGGGAGCTCGAGGGTCCAAGGATGCCTTTGAGAGTTTGAGGTGGAGAGTCACTTTAAGGGTTATGCCATTATGGACCATGGTCCTATGATTAAAGGAGTTAACAAATGGTAAATTCGATGAGCTGGGAAAATATGAACAACGTGAAAGGTTAAATCGTGTGACATTGCTTACAAAATATGTGAAATATTTTCTAATATTTGTGCTTTTATTTGCTATCAACACCATGTCTAACTATTTCATTTTTTAAACAAACTCCTCACGATAGACATAAACAAATAAACATTTGATGGAAATGCTGAATGACTCATTCTTGTAATAAATAAAGTCGATAACAGGTTAAAAGAATAAGGAAATGACTCAAATAAGACCAAAACATGTTGAAAGTGAAAAAATAGGATGAAACTTTTCTTTGTCTAGAAATAAAAGTGAAAGCGGATATAAAAAATGGTCTTGTTTACAATCACCGTGTATACTTTTAGCCTAACGAGAATGCCACTCTGAAAGAAGAATGTCACCATAGTAGTAGCATTACAATACCATGATCAAGTCTTAATGAGATCATCGCGTTGAATTACATACATCAAGTCAAATTGTCATCATCAAGCAATAATGTCATCTTGAAAAAAAAGTAAATGAAATCTCGTTGATCGTTTAGTTGGTGTATTCACTTGGTTAAAACTACTAACAGAAATGTCATCTTAACGATTAATGTACAAAAAATGTCATTTTGATTATTACACGTGAATTAAGTTGAACAATGTAATTTGAAAAAAATTATCCTAACTAGTAATAAAATGTCACCTTGCTTTCTAATGTTCAAAAATGTCATATCAACCAAGAGAATTAACTTGAACATGAATATGCTACATACTACACCAATGTGTCAAACTTTAAATATGAGCATATAAGAATAAAGTATACACTCATTTTGATTAGTTTAGTTTTATCTGTGGCAATGTCTTATAAACCGAATATAGGATACAAATGGGTAGTGATAGAGATATTTTCAAAATATTGGGCCAGTTTTAAATTACTCATCAGTTGAGTTATATCTTACGAGTAAGGAGCAACAACAGTCAACAGTCATCCACAACTTGAGAGATAGGAGAGGAAGAGCCCTGACAATGGCGACATGCGCGATCAATTCAGTATCTTCAGCGGCATGGAGTATGAGTTCTCTAAGATCAGCTCTTCCTTGTATCCAACCTCCGTCAGCCTCCTCACTCCGCTTCCCAGCTCGGTCTTCTCCATCTCGACTGAAGCTCTCCCGATCCGGTCCACAGCCAGTGATTCCTCACTCTTTCATAGGACTTGCCCCTTTTCAACCGCTTCTATCTCTTTTTCCTCAAGGTAAATTATCACCACTCGTAGATATGCGGATTACGCTTCGTTTTATGTTGTTCCTGAACAATGAAATTGGTTATTGACTTATTCTATTGCTTATTTTGTCTCTAATGTTTTTTGGTTCGAATATGCTTTTTTGTCCAACCGAGAGGCAATAATTGTAGTTATGGACTTATGGAGAGCTTTTGATTTATTTTTAACTAATTACTGGAAGTGATTGCTCAATTTCGAAGTGCCAATGATGTTATAGGAGAGCATTATTAGGGATTTTTCATTTCGGCTCCAGTTGTTGGTAACTATTTCTAAAAGGCACAATGAAGTGTTGAAGAGTAAAATGTTAAACAGCAATGAATCTTGGTGCTTTACAATTTCACCTTATGTGCAGTTGGATTTTCTATTATGAATCCTTTGAGGTCATGCCTCTTTTGGTTTATTTTCATTTTATCAGACAACATGATCTCATTTCCGTGTCTATTGGACTGAATGAGCTTGTCTTGTTCATTGAGTAAAAGGTACTTTGCATTATCCCACCCCATTTGCTTTCTGTTAATAGGCTAGTTTTGCCATCAATCACTTGAAGATGCCAAGTAATGTTTAGCTGCCAAGTAATGCATCTTGTTGGCTTCATCATCACTGGCCTCAGCTCAAAATCGGCTTCTTCATGTCTTGCAGATTCAACAAGTTCTGAGAACTCATTAACTGTGATGGGCAATGGATTCCGAGTCTTTGCGATGAGACATGGCAGGAGGGTGCCTAAACTGAACAGACCCCCTGACCAGCGACGGGCACTCTTGCGGGGCCTCACGACTCAGCTTCTCAAACATGGGCGCATTATGACGACCAGAGCTAGAGCCAAAGCAATGAGAAAGTATGTTGACCATATGATTACCTTGGCGAAGGAAGGCTCTCTTCACAAACGAAGGCAAGCCCTTGGCTTCATCTATGAGAAAGAGTTAGTGCATGCCTTGTTTGCCGAGGTCCAAGAGAGATACGGGGAGAGAAATGGCGGATACACAAGGATACTTAGAACCTTCCCTCGGCGGGGGGACAATGCACCTATGGCCTATATTGAGCTTGTCTAGAGATAAATTGGCCTATATTGAGCTTGTCTAGAGATAAATTGGCCTATATTGATCTTGATGCCTTTTATTTATATTATCAACATAGTTGAATTTATGTCAATTGTTGGTGGTGCTCACTTTTTCTTAGTTTGTCCCTTTAAATGTCATGGACTGCAAGGACGATACAGTGAGCTCCTTGATGTTAGTCACAGGATTGCGAGTGGTAGATAACTACAAAACTGGTATCCATTAAGTGGGAGTGATCCAAGGGATCACTTCACACACTTAAGATTATCTACTTGTGCAATCTCTTAAATTTAAGTCTTAAGAAGGTAAATTTAATAGTAATTGCCTCGATATAGGAGTAAAACATGGAAAAATTCTAAAATGGGAGTATCTATGCCCCCCCCCCCCCCCCCCCCAATAGGATCCTACTACTCCTATTTAAAACATACGGACCTTTCAATACCATTCTTGCCCCCACTATGTTTAACCCACTATCGATCCACTCTTTCGCTCACCGTCTTCTCTCTCCTTTCTGTGCACCATCCTCTCCCCTTCCCCATCGATGAGTTTCTTCTCCGTTGCAAATCAGATCCGTCGGCTTCTTCTTCTCTGCAAATCAGACAAGTCGATTTCTTCTCAGCACGATGTCTTCGATTTTGTACCTAGCCATATCTGCCGCTGCTGACTCCACTACATGCTGCCTGCGAATCATGTTTCTTCTTTTCTATTTTTTGAGTTTTGACATTCGATTTGTTGATTTTTGGATCTCTATTTCATATTTCCAATTTTTAATTTCTCAATTTTCCTGATTTTCTCAATTTTTGGATGATGACATAATTTTTTGCCAAGTTTATGACACAAATGTAAACTGACAATCGTATTATGATAATGAAATTTTGGTGTAAACTAGTTTTTTATATTTTTATCAGTAACATCTTATTTATGATTGAGGTGGATTTTTGTTAAAGTGATTGATTTTTGGACTCCTATTTCATATTTCCATTTTTTAATTTCTCAAATTTTCTTGATTTTCTCAATTTTTGGATGATGGCATAAATTTTGCCAAGATTATGGCAGTTTTGTGCAAATCTTCCAAGATAAATCTGCCAACATTATGACAGATTTCAAAATTCATTTTCATGGCAGATTTTTATTAATTTTTAGGGGTAAATATGTCAAAGTTGTGACGGCAATGCTCAGGGGTGAAGCGGTGACCTCGAAATTGACACTTGCGACAAATTTAATAAAAGACGATAAGGCTGGACCTCTGGTGCGCACGTGTATAAGGCATATCGCCGCTTTGCTGACTGAGTCACCGTGATTAAACTCCCCACCATCCTATCGGGTCAGGGTGGGGGGGCTCCTGGGGTGGGAGATTCCAACTTTTTTGGACCAAATAAAAGACGATAAGGATGACTACAATGTCAGCGATATAGATTGGTCGGCAGTGATAGCGGGGGTCGGTGGTGGCAGTGGCCGATAGCGACGGCGGTTGGGCGGCGACGGATGGCGATGCCGGTGTGGGAGGCAGAGGCGGGCGACACCGGCGACGACAGTGACACACGACACCAACGAGAGTGGCTGAAGATCTACGCCAACATTTTTTGAACTCTTTAATGTTTGTTCAATTTCAACTCGCGTATGTGATTATTAGAAGGTTATTTTTGTCAACTTGATCTTAAAAGGCTCTTATTAAACATGGGTCACGTGAATACTCCTATTTTGACCAATTGTAAACATTTTACGCCTATATGAGTAATTCACTCAAAATTTAACCCATAGTTACTTGGAGTGGCGGCACATTTAGGGCCTGTTTACTAACAAAGATATTTTCCTATTTTCTACTTCTGTTTTTTGTTCTCCAATTTTCTATTTTTATTTTTTAATTTTTCTATCTCCAGTTTTCTGTTTCTATTTTCTAGTTTTCCGTTTTCAAATCTGAAAACATGTTCATCATTTTTTTCATCCAGTTCTGTGATCATCCAGAAGACTGACACGTTTACTTCACGCGTTACTAAATGGTGCTTATTAAGACTCGCGTTAATAAGCGACGCATAAAATAAGCAATGTTATAAGATCATGTTTACTTCAAAAGGTTTAAAACACTGTTTAACATTAAAATGTCCAAAATAACCCTATACCTCGTACCCCCCTCACCCCCCACCTTACACCCTACACCCAATTCCACGCCATTGACCCATACCCCTACTCTTACCACGATCTTACACTCTACCCATACTCCCCTAATAAAACCCTGCATACCCACCCATACCTACTCATAGGGGTCAGGGTAGGGAAGGAAGGTATGAGTGGGGGTGGGGTGGGGTGGGGCCGGGATCAGGGTGGGGCCGAGGTAGGGGAAGGTGTAGGGTGGGGGTAGGATGGTGGTGGGGGTAGGATTGTAGTAGGGTGGGGGTAGGATGGCGGTATGAGGGTGGGGGTAGGATGGCAGTAGGGTGGGACCGATGTAGGGGGCATGTGGGAAGGGCTAAGGGGTAATATATGAGGTGGGGTAGGGTAGGGTAGGGTGGGTCAGGGTGGGGTTGAGGTGGTAAGGGGTGGCGGTAGAGTAGGGTGGATTGGGGTGGGACCGAGGGGGCATGTGGTAGGGGGTGGGGGTAGGGTCATTGTAGGGAAAGGGGGTATGCGAGGTGGGGGTTGGGTGGGTAAGGTAGGGTAGGGTAGTGGTAAGGGGTAAGGTATGAGGACGGAAGTAGTAGAATGAAATCGACATCGGAGCGGGATCGGACCCACCACTATGTGTAAATATGCAAATTCATTGCAGCGACCTGTAGCATCTACGTTTTCCAAATTTGGAAAACTAGTAAAAAGTCACTTCTCCAAATCATTAAGGAAAAGAGAGACATGTCTCATTTTTTCGTTTTGGAAAACGGTTTGGTAAACACGTTTTTCTGTTTTCCTTTCTCCAGTTTTCCAGCAATTTTCTTTGGTAAACACGTTTCCTGTTTTCTGTTTTCTAGTTTTCCAGTTTTCTGAAAAACTTGAAATTATCTCTGTTAGTAAACAGGCCCTTAGTTTTTCATATCGTCTCAAGCGGTCAGGGTTAGCTTCTGGTGAAGATCTAGGCATACACGATTAAGGAGTGTTTGCAAGAACTTAAAAGGCTAAAGGGTCAAATAGTTACATGAACTAACTTAAAGTGTTCAATTAGCCCCTCATATAGGAGGTTCTGCTAGGCCGTCGCCAATTGGGGCGGTTCCCGGTGGAATATTTTGATGAAATTTTTTGAGCATCTTATTCATTAAGTCTAGTTTACCCATACCAAATTTCAGCTAAAAATTCAACCGGGAAGGCAGTCAAATGATTCTTTGAAGATAACTGCGCAGTTAAACAGCGCAGTACATTTCGGAAAACCATTTGACTGCCTTCCCGATTTAATTTTTAGCTGAAATTTGATATGGGTAAACTAGACTTATTGAAGAAGATATCAAAAAATTTCATCAAAAAATTACTTCGGGAACCGCCCCAATTGACGACAGCCGGGCATAACCTCCTAAATAAGGGGCTAATTGAACACTTTAAGTTAGTTTATGTACCTATTTGACCCTTTAACCAACTTAAAATAATGCTTTCAGCTTTTGACTTCAACAAGGCTGAAAAGTGTGTTTTCAAGTGATGATTTTTACTTAAATTGAGTATTTAAAACTTAAAAGCCGGAAGTAAATTGATGATTGCTTTGTTTTTGTTAAGATCTGAGGTTTCATCCTAAAAGGTCAACCTGATAGGAGAAGTAGCCCATGTCTTAATATAGCACTTTGTTTCAAAAATTTACGGTGTGGGATTCTAACACCCCTCCTCACGACCAGACACTTCCCCTTGATCGTGCCTTCAATCATTTTTTCGTCGGTTCGTCATTGACATTTTTTCATCATGTCGTCGTTTTTCATAAGGAGGCCCACACCATGGTTATGGATCAGTTTGACTCTGATACCATGTTAAAATCTGAGATTTATCTTAAAAGATCAACCTGATAGGAAGAGTAACCTATGTCTTAATATAGCACTTTATTGATTCAAACTTTTCCGGTGTGAGATTCTAACAATTTTCACTTTTTCCTATTACACAAAAATCATTTTTTACACACATCCCTATCAACTTTTATTTTTTCCTGCTTAAATTTTGACGTTTACTTTTGGCACGGTGTTTTGGGTGACCAATTACTAGAAGAACAAATGTCTTTCATGTTCTTTAACTTTTTGGGGTAATTAACGTTATCCAATCAAATGTAAAAAGTGGGTGGATAGTGAAGGTAGTTAGGATATTTGATGTAAAAGGAGTTGCCTAAAAAGGAATCGTAAAGATTTAAATGGGATGTCCCAAAAAGGAATGTGTAAAAATTTAAATGGGACGGAGGAGGTATCAAATACTATTAACTTTTACTATTAAACATATCTTCTAAAGTCACTTTAAAAATCATTTTTTAATGTAGAGGCAATCACAAAACTCTCTTAGTCATTTAAGAGTAATTTTTTAGGAGTGGTGTGTGTACAAATGACTATGAAAACTTTGCGAATTGTTTGAGTGAATCGAATTTATTCTTTTGATAGGTTTGGAGTGAGTTTTTGAGAGCTCATGGTCGGTCGATAAAGTCGGAAAAAATAAAAACAGAAACAAAAAAAAATTGTTGACAGATTATGCGAGTGTTTAGGGCTTTTTCCTTCAATATTATCAAATTAAAGTTGATTTCCACAAATGTGACCATTTTTTAAAAGGACAAAATGTAACTAAGAATGTCACATATTTGGAAAACATTATGTCACTGTATTTTTTATGTATAGATTTTTATGTAACTATTCAATTTTAATGTCACTATCAAATGTCACTGCGGCCACCGCCCGTGTCATTGTGCCACCGCCCGTGTCACTGCTGCCACCGTCCGCGTCACTGCTACCACCGCCCGTGGCACTACCGCCACTGCACGTGTCACTACCGCCACTGCCCGTGTCACTGATGCCTTGAGAACATGTCACTGCGATAGTTGGAAAATCTTCTGTGACTTTTCCGGCAAATCTGTCCCCCAATACCGCCACCCGCCACACTCCCGGCACCCCCTGCTCCCCGTACACCGCCCACTAACCCTGCTCCTCCCCATCCCCACGTCCTAGCCCCTAGCACCCTGTCCCCCAGCCCCCGACCAGCCCCCAAATCCCCTGCCGCCACCGTCATTGACCGCCTCCTGCCCATCTCCGCCACCGTTCCGGCTGATAACCGCCGCGCCGCCTGCCAGCGCCGCCCCATCCCATCTTCAGCCACTACCGCCACAGTGACACCATCAGCCACCTAGCCCTAGCCACACCTCTCCATCC